AAAAATACGACATACTTCGATTTTTTCGTATTTTCCGACCTGAAAAAGATATTTGTGTAAGGTAAAAAGTTGTTTTTCGTGATCAGCAACTCTCACTCTATCAAATGATGTAAAGAAAACGGCAAAAAGAATTTTTACTTGAAGTTTGAATTGCCTGCACCTTAAATTAGTTACATGTTTATACCGATAAATAAATACTTTTTCCTCCTCATTCTAAGCTTTTGCATCCTTTCTCCAACAAAAAGAAAAATCTTGCTTGATTTTGAATTTTTCGACATTTAACAACGAGTGTGATCAGCGTACGATTAGTGTTCGACGCAAGTATTTAATAGTGATGTTATTTCGATGATGATGATCAGTAAAAATAGAACAGGTTAACTTCGTTTTCAATAGATTAATAAATCTTTTGCGCAGTGTACTCAATGAAAATATATAGATATAGAAGCCAAAACTACATTCAATGTAGCCGAACATTCGTGATATTTGATCAATCATATTTTCAAAAGTTATCTGTTCAATTGTTTTTGATTGATTTCGTGTTATTATTGCATAAAAGGCATAGAGTGAATGAGGTAAACATCCTAGAACAGTTAATAATATTTCTAATAGAATCATCCATGTCAATTGATATTCAATACGTTGATTTAAACAATGTTTTTGTAATAGATTTTTATTTTTTGTAATATTTCGTACATTGGATAGTGTTAACAAGCCAAAAGTAATCATTAACATTGGCATAATTACAGTATATGTGATAGATAATATAATAAAATATTTTAAATATTTTGGAAGACAGGTTGAACGTTGATTAATCATTTCAATATTAGAATTAAAAAAATGATGTAAAGATAATAATGACCATGCAATAGTGGTAAATAGAATTAAACGATATTGTAAATAGATTTGACCATATTTTCGTATTTTTTCAACTCTTGAACTTAAACAATAACGATTTATTGATGCTAATAAAACAAAATTAAGCGCCAAATTTGTGCTTAACATTTGTATATACATTCGTAACTTACAATAGAGAGCTGGTGAAATAATCGACATTGGTATATTATCAATATGTAGTAGAACAATTCTCGAATCATACCATCCAATATTAATTTGTGAGATTGATTTTGTTGTATTTGAGGATGATTGAATATTGGCTAAAAAACGTGTCACTGGAATATTATTGAGAAGAAAAAAATAGGTAATTGTAGCAGCAATAATATAAACTGAACATGAACATAGGCGAAGTGGTTTTTGTAGAAAAAAAAAAATTTTCAATAAATTACCAATATTTCCAAATATTAAAAATAATAAGTTAACATAAATATTCATTCGATTTGAAATTGTATTTAATTTGATAATATAACGAGATACAATTTCTACAGTAGAATTGGTACTAATAATAATAGACATGATAGAAGATTTTTGTTTTAAATATAAGTGCACGTTATTAAAACAAACACAAAAAAAGAGAAAGCAATGAAGGCGTGTTAAATTACCCAAATGAAGAAAGAGAAATACTTTTTCTCTCTATATTAGTAGACGAAGTGTAAGTTACAGAGAGATAGACAATAAAATAAGAGCAGTTGTATTTATTTCATTTAATTATCCTATAATAAGTAAAAATATGGCACAATCAATTTCTCAGTTAGATGAATATAAAAACATTACAATCATGCTGAAATTCTATCAAATTCAAAAAATGGATAAAAGTTGAAGGAGTTCTTTTCTCATTTTGTAGATAAAACTGTGCTCTTTAAAATTCAGTATATACTCAACTCGATCCAATATGTTGTTGTTCCTGCTATAGTTAAAATGTCTAAAACACTTTCTGCAAAATTTTCGTTTTGAACTCGTGGCAAAATTATTATAGTAGAAAAAAAACCGATTGAATTGGATTGAGCATAGAGTGGATTTTGGAGAGCATAATTTTATCTACAAAATTAGACATCTCTTGGCTCTTCATAATACATCCGTTGAATATTATTAGATGAACAGAAAGAGAAAAATTGTGACGCACAGTCAAAAGGTTGACCTTTAGCCAGTTTTTCATCAGTAATGTTGTTTTTTTAAGCCGCAAATTTTTATTCCAAAATACAACAAATAGAGTTATTACCTCATTAAATGCTGTTAAAAAGTGAAGTAAAAATAAAAGTGTACTAAACAATAATCAAAAAAGTATATTACACAACAACAACAATAAGCGAAGAAGAGAGATAATGCTAAATAATGAAGTTTAGCAAGGAGGACAGAACAAAGAGTAAAAAGGACAGAACAGAGAACAAGGAAGGCAGAACAGAGAATTAAACAGAACACTAGTAATTATTAAGAAAAGCAACATGCTTCATGTTTTCTACGATAAATTTGGATATTGGGTCATGAAAAGACTAAGCCAGGTACCGGATAGAACTTATCTAGCTGAAAAAATGAACATTTCAACCTGAGCTCCTTAGGCGGCGACAAATCTCATCCTTTAATTTCTATCAAAGCAGAGAAAAAACCAATAAGACTTAGCCGACAAGGACTTTTTTCTTGTTGATCCTATGCTCTCCAGTCTCCTATCATTTAAAGTATCGAGGGTTTATTTTACAGTTGGCGTTTGTTAGAAAGAAGTTTGATATTCATACTTGAAAGACGTTTAGGACTTATATTAAAACATTTATAGAAATAGTATGTAAAGAAAACAGGTGTATCGTTCTACAAGCTAAAACCTTTCGTTTCTTTTCCTGGAATTGTAATTAACCCTTGTACTGCAGAAAACGGACATTAAACGGAAATATCTTGGTATTTTTCTACTTTCAAACATATTGAGCTTTTTCCCCCGTGAAGAATTTAAAGTTGACGATTAACAGGAAATTTTCTTTTTGTGCGTCAACTATGAGTATTAGATATAACTTCGTATCTTGATCTGCTTACTAAAAGACAGCAAGGTGAAGAAAATGTGAAAACAGTCCAATTAATAGTCATGAATACAATCAATCATCATTTATCTAATTCGATATAGTTGTAACCTAATCAAAATAAGCTCCTATCGTGGTTTGAGACTACTCAACTAGTAAAGTGGGTGACTCAACGAGCTTCGAATGTACAATTAGGGTTCTTTGTTTCTCTCTCCTATTCATTCTTCTTTTTGCTTGAACAGAGTGTAGAATTGTATCAGTGATTCGTAAATGGTCTCAGGTGAATCACTTTTGGATATACAGCTTTATTTTTTCTTTACTATTACGAGCATTTCAAAAACATTTTTGCTCCATGGATTACTGTGAAGATTGAAAATTCGTTTGACTTGGACTTGACTGAGTCTTCTTTTATCTTCTCGCCTAATCAGATCGTAAGACTGCTCTCTGTTCTTTTGATGTTGTTACTATCACATTGTCATCGTCAGCACTACCACATATCTAGTTAGTAGTTATACATCTTTCTTCTCTTGCGTTCTGTTGACAATCATCGATAACACACGTATTTTCTCTCTATATTTCTGGTGTGTTCTGGTGCACTTTTTCGTCGTTTGAATTTCTATATATTCGTTCACATTAAGAGGAGCGGGCCTGATTTAAATGGTGATATATATATTGTACGAGAGGAGCGGACTCTGTCTGTCTATATAGATTTTTCATAATTAAAGTAGTTTTTCTCTAGCGAAAATAGGTTTTGAGCGCTTTCCAGTATTTCGCATTTCCTAGCCAAGAGATTTGCGCTAAAATGAAAACAAAATACACCAATCGATAGAGAATTTCACGCTCTGTCCGACTAGCTGGTTGAAAAAATTATAGACATTATTTTTCCCGTTAAAAAAGAAAAATGAGTTGTGTTTTCCAATACTTTGTTTTGGAAAAATAGATGTGAAAAACCGATGATATTCGAACGTCAAATATACCATTTTGTTCAGTTTTGAATGCTCTTTCCAATGATGTATAATATACTGAGGCACGATAGAATTTTAAGCAATCAATTTCACTTTTTCCATATTTTCCGGTCATTCTCATTAAATCAGGTTTTTTGTGGTGAAGATCAACTTTGGGAACGAGATCATTTTAAGAAACTGATAGAGCGTGAAATTCTCTATCGATTGGTGTATTTTGTTTTCATTTTAGCGCAAATCTCTTGGCTAGGAAATGCGAAATACTGGAAAGCGCTCAAAACCTATATTCGCTAGGAAAAACTATTTTAATTATGAAAAATCTATATAGACAGACAGAGTCCGCTCCTATAGTACATCGACCTCTCGTACTATCTATATCATGATTTAACTTAGGTCCATATCTCTTAATGTGAAAGAAAAAATTCAAAAAACAAATTATTTATAGACCTGGTAGTACAAGGGTTAAATAAAATAATCATCAGTGTACATACATACATGCATGCATAATTAGATTCATCCTTCTGTTAAAAGCTTAATCTAAACAGGACGTGACTCTGGTGCTAAAATTTCCGAAACTGTGTCATTATCTTCTTCTTCTTTCTATTTTCGGAAATTAAATTGGTAATCTTGTTGAGACCCTATTAGTACACCGTACAGTAAAAGAAGAAAGAAAATACATACAAATTAAATTATAGAATACAGAAGAGATATCATAGTACAAATGATAATAAAAACATACATTTCTTAATCTTCATTAGAAATCACAGTGATTGAGAGGGTACAAACAGAGAAAAAAACACAGAATTCAAATAAAATAACCCATGAATCACCTAATACTTTACAGGAACACGAAGTTCTAATTGTATACACAATTTAATATAGACAGCTAGATTGACAACATTTTTATCACAAAATCTTTAGTTAGTTCTATTTATTTTCTTTCTCTTTATTCCCTTTTTTTATCCTTTTACATCTATACATTTTTTTGAAACATTAGCATAACTGTTCCATTATCTTCTGGAATATTCTCTATGTTCGAAGTTATACATCCTCACCACGCTGTTACACAACATTTCATTTTATAATAACTTTTATATAAATGTGTAGAGGAACTTCATTTTCTTTTCTAATTGATTTGATTACTTCTTCAAAGATAATTAGCCACTAGGTTTCAGAAGATTATTCTTTTATCAACATATCAAAAAGACATACACTTTTGTGGATTAAATATAAATAATAAAGGAGCTCGGGAAAAAGAGATATTTGATTCGATGTCGGTAGTTGACTTTGAAATGACAGAAATAAACTCGGTTGTAGTAAGATTATACTCTATTTATATAAACGAGAGTTTTTACGAGATCATAAAGTACTTTATAGTCTGAAAAGATACAAATGAACTCAGTTAACTTTATTTTTGACGGTAATAAGAGAGAAATGAGCTCGGTAAATAACTTTTTAAAAATTAATTAATGATTTTGTAAGTAGCAAAGTATATTTAGTAAGAAAAAAATAATTCAGTAACAAAATAAGTGCTAGATTACAATAGTTTTTCACTAATATTCAGTCTTTTGTTAAAGCTAATTTAACTTTCTTTGGACGAACTTTTGCTCGTCTTATCCCCAGTGGATGAATATTATCCATTAAAAACTATAATGCAGAAAATTCTTTTCAGAATAACGTTTGATACACAAACGATAAAGAGATGCGGTGTTTGCCTGTTTATAGAAGATACTGGGGGAAATCTGTTGGTAAAAATAACAGATCCAAGATCCTGTCTGCAGGTAGTGAACTTGATGGATCTTCCGTAGGCAAAACTGCCGTTTCCTGGAATTCTACAGCAACCTCTAGTTTTAAAATATGCAGAACATACACTGGCACGTATGCTCCACATCCACGCAGGTCCGAGACCTTCATCTATCGTTGTTCGGGCATGGTAGAATTTCTCCGAAGGCACCCCTATCAGGCGATCTTGATGTCTGGTAATCTCGGAAGTGAATTGAGCTTAGATTTTCGGCTATTCTAAATCTCGGGGCCGTGTTTGTGTTTAGAAAAACTTCGAAAACCTATACTATGTTAAATAATGCATTTTTCACTATTTTCATCGGAAATGAAAAAATTCATAATTCACTCAAATCAATCCCAACTACTTCAGAATATCGAGATATACTCTATTTTATCTGCACGACACCTTGGTGTTCACTAAAAGTTTTAAAAGTCAATAGGTAATACTTTGGTTTTTGAAAGGTTTTACAGATCCAAATCCGAGAATGTTTTTCGGTAATCTTAAGTGCAGACCAAGTTGAGTGGATAAAATAGAATATATTTCGATATTTTTAAGTAGTTTGGATTGATTTCGAGTGAATTATGAATTTTTTACTTTGATCTTTTATTTTTTGGATTATGCGAGGGTTTATTGACCACGCTCTGGAGGCCTTGCAAAAATAAGAGAATATACGAAGAACAATTACAAAAAAAGGGTAAGACTGAGCAACACATAACGACGAACCATTCATATTGTTGATTAAGGGCTGAGTATACAGAACACAAGAAA